AAATCAACCCATGGGAGAAAACTTCGTTCTTTAGACTGAGGGGATAACAAGGGAACAGACCACAATTTATTTCGGAAAGTAAACGAATAAATTAGTTATGAAACAGGCCTATTATATTACGCCCTATTCATGGGCTACATAGGTTACCGAATCCTATAAAATATTAACTGATTTGCAACTACTCAAGAACGTAGGTTCTTCCTCGGCGATATTAATAGTATCAGATCGATGGACACGTTGAAAGCTTAATTCATGGAAGGGTGGTTTGTCTGTAGGGATTCATGCCCGCTTCCACCGAGGGTGATATCGCAGACAACTAATAATTCATGTAATGCTTACGACTGACAAACATTTGACATTTGTAATTTGATGGTATTATTTTTGAGTGACAATTAAAAAAGGGTATTCATTTATCAATTAAAGGTCCGTCTTTTGAAGTATATACATGGTTCTAGCGTCATTTTGACGTTTATAAATCTGCAGCGCCTGGGTAACTGGTGGTCGCTTTGCTAAAATACATTGGAGAGAAAAGGGTCTGCAATTGGCACAAATATTGAAAAACCTCGAGACTTTTTAGCGCCTAATGAAACAAGGACGAAAGTAAAAGTTTCCCATTCAGTTTCGTTTTTAATAATCGGATACGGTCAGCGTACCTAGAGCGATCGATAACCGTGTGCATGATCACGGGTTGCAGAGCACGACACCGGTGGGATGGCCGCGACACGGGTGCGCTGACCATCCTTGTAGCGTTTTAAATGCCCGGTCCCGAATATTTGCTATAGGCCCCGAATACCCTGACGTGACAGAGCCTCAAACGGAACGGGCCGGGGCCCCACGGCAAGAAGGTCAGGACAGGTGGCTTATAGTTTTTAATTCACCAATTCTTCCAAAAAAGTGGACTAATAGAATCCGATTCTAAACCTACCCATGCCACTATGTACCCGCATCCAGAAAATTCACTGGTTTTCTTCTACTTTACCATCAAGTACCAAAACATTAATCGTTATATATACCTCCGGGCCCACTGTTATGAAAACAAGGTGCGTTTTTTTTTACCTGGCTTATCGAGTTATATCATCGAAAAGCTCCTAGTACCTGGATTCGAGGCGAGGTTCGTGGGTTGAATAAGCGGGGGCGTACCCTTTGTTTATTGAGACTCGCCATAAATCGGGTGACTAGAAACTTAAGGTATCTGTGGATTTGGTGAAATAAAGATATTCGAGCCACCAAAGCTATTTTAGAAGTTATTGTGTCCGAGTGAACGTACCCTAACTCTATCCCCCCATATTTTTAGTATGTTTACGGTAATATACCTCGAAAATGCAACTTAGGAGGCTTTTGGAATTTTGCAGTCTAGCAGTGTATTCCTCTCTTGATTATGATACCAAAGCTGGTTTGGGTGCTTTTTGATGCAAAGTGGACCGACCATTTTCTTCATTCTCAGTTAGTCTAGTGTGCGATATTTTAGTATGTTTACAGTAATAATATTTTCTTTTATCTATTATATACACTTTGCATTAATATGTCTTAAAATGTTATTTTCTAATATAAAGGCTTAACAATTATTTTAGTGGTAAATATATAGGTTTTTATTGGGGCTAGGAATATGTTTGCTAACTTCATTTCGAATCCGGGTGCTGGAATAATGGTCAGAGTTTCCTCTAGGCCCTCTCCTAACATGGCTCATTGGAGAGTGAGGGAGAGAGAGAGAGAGAAATGGGGTTTAACGACACAAACCAGGTCATTTCGGGACTAAAATATGGTTCAATTTTATATCAATAATTCGTTTACGCGTAGGGGTCTTTAGCAGTGGGAGGACCCGGAGAAAACCCACGAGATTGAACAGGCGACCCTACTCCTTGTCACGTAGAACCGGGGAATCAAAACCACGCCAGTTGACTCAACGACAGACCTTATGATACAGCGCACACGTGGTAACCATTCGGTCATCCAACCCCCCGGGGGTAGGACAGACAAATATCACAATCGAGTCGTCTATAGTAGTAAAATAACTGTAGATCAGACGGTCCAATCACGATTTGGGGCAATCTGACCCACTCCTCTTGCAGAGCCACTGCCAATTCTTGTAGTGTTGTCGGTTGACGTTGACGTCGACGAACACGCCTACCGATCAAATTAAACGTAACACACTAAAGATACGCTAAACAGTAAATCTTATGTAAGAACCGATAGGAAAGCAAACATGGATAGATAAACCAGCACGCGGCAGTTTTCATCAACCCTTCCTTGAAGTGTCAAATTTGACAATGAACCCCTCCCACGTGTATGTCGCATGTGCAGCTCAGTGGTTCTGTTGGGGCGATAAGTTCTTCATATGTGAACATAGTGTCAAAGCATGTCAAGTGTCCATGACTATGTATCATATCACAGCCTGCATATGTATTTGCATTTCAATATCCCCTACTTTTTTTGAAGAGTATACAACAACTATAACCAGTTAGCCCAATGACAGACCTTATGATATGATATAGCGCGCACATGCTAACCATTCGGTCCATCCAACCTCCCTCATTCTAATGGAAAGCACCGTCTGACTCTCCTGGCCCTGTATTCGGGATCTGTTACTAATATTTGATATCCAGATAGTTCACGGAGAGTGTCAAATGAACAAGGATGTGTGCATGTTTTAACAAGTACTTGACAATAATCCTCGCCAAAATAACACATGGCCAATTATACGTGTATTTGAAATAACTATGGAGATTATATCACGTGTCTGTTTATATATTCTGTACACTGTAAAACTAAAATAAAAGAAAAACAACTTAAACATGCATTATGCAAGAACTAAATCTGATTATTGCAAGTCTTAATTTAGGCTTCAGATGTTATAGAAATTATAAATTAGATCTTTATTTAAACAACAAACCCAAAATCAACTCTGTAGACCCACGGATGGCTCGACTACAGCTCGGATTTAAATAGGATTTCACTAATTGATTAAATCAAGTATGGGGCAACCTGATGAAAATACGTCAGTTAGATCGAAGCTAAATGATAGAGTGTACTTAGCGAGGCCGCTGTAAAGCGTTTCCGTATGCCATTGAAAAATTTACTTGATAATCGAGATATGTAGGTGGAGTTAACGCCTGTCAATCAAACGATCGGCGAAGGTGAAGACGCATTTCGCTACCATTTCTAGTCAAATATTACAACGATGATAACTATGTTCAGAATAAAGTAATTTGACTGAATTTTTCAATATATTCTTCTTTCATTATCTTCTTTTGAACTGTTATAGCAAGAATGGCCAACTCTCTATAAAAATCTCCCATAATGTAACTTTAATATTTTGGTTTCACATTTGTGTTAATTTCACCAATACAAAGTGTGCAATTGTTCGTACTTTATATCACCCCTTACTGTAAATTTAAACTTATCAAAATCTGACCCCAAATTATCCGTAAATTTCTCACTTTCTGATTAATTTATAATACAAATTAAAAATATCAGCATCCATTTTATTTCGGCACTTTGATAAATTGTATAATTAAACAGCGTCCGATGTATCTAGGCAACTTTTAGATGCTGTTCGATTTTTGTTAGCCGCAGTGACTCGGTGAGTAAGATCTGGAGTTATCGTGTTCGATCCCGGTCTTGGCCGAGAAAACTCATCAGGATATTCCGGCGTGAATCCCCCTTTTCAGTGATGCTGGACAGATCGCCCGGCAAGGGACAATGTATATAGTCGTTCGGATGGGACGAAAACTCGTAGTACGTAAAAAAAAAAAGCACCTTGGCAGTATAAGAGTAGGCCGTAGTGCCGCTGTCCGGGCACGATTTCCCCAATAGCACACTTCATGACGTATGCCCGTCTGCATTAGGCCAGTCGGAGCAGAACCGTTGGACGTTAAAACTCATTTACTTTCATTTCATTTCATTTTATATAACTTTTTCCAGGACATCCAGGCTCGTAGCTAGCCCAAACATTTTGGGTGGGGCGAGATGTAAGGGCTTCTGGGGATCTAGGATGCTCTTCCCCCAGAAAATTTTGGAAAATAGGATTTGCACGCCTGGTGCTAGCTTAGATCAGTCTTACCCCCATCGTGAATTTGACCTGGAAAATTTCCCAATATCTCCAGTTGGCTTTCTTATGGTTGGTTTCATCGTGGGCGGCCCACCAATCTCGGCATTATGGGCACCCCCCCCACCACCCCCACCCCGGGATGATACACCCCACCAATCATGTCGTTTTGGGCGCCCCATTGATCAAGTCGTGGGCGCCTAACCCGGCATTATACATTATGTGCGGCCCAACAATCATATTATATTATCATTATAAGGGGCCTCACCTATCATGTCATTATGGGCACCCCTTCGGGATAAGGCACCCCACACCGTTTTGGGCGCCCTATCAATCAAGTTTGGAGGGGGGAAGGGGGGGGGCGCCTCATATATAACAACATGATTGGCGAGGCGCCCATAAAACCAAGCGCCCCGCCAATCTCGTCATGGGTGCACAACCAAGGTCAACCGGCTTTATGCTACGCCCATACTGATATGGGCACGTTGGTCGTTGGCTTCGTGTTGCGATTTTTTCCAGTGGGGGGGGGGGGCAGCTGCCCCCATGCCCCACCCTCACCCCACCGCTAGCCATGGACCTGATATCATTCCATTTATAATGAGGTATAAGAATAATATAAATAAGTCAGTTATATTCATATATTTGCTTTATCAAATTTAAAGATGGATAGAAATTCTAATGGTGGCGACGGGTGTAAGATTTCTGTAGGTTTTCTGGTGTCAATATTAAAGCCTTTTCTTATTCATTGCAAAACAATGTATTATTGTCGCGTGTTATTTTTAAATAACATTTAGCTGCTTTCAACCCACACCGCCAAACAACAACAGCTCCATTACAACACCTAGTATATTAGCTGATAAAACTGTTAATACATATTTTACAGTGTAGATAGTATCAAGTAGACGTCTATGACCAGTCTTTCAACACTATTGAGTAACATAAAAGCAGTGTGTACATGATAAATGGCATGTATTATATTGGTATTGAACCAAAAAGGACCAGGGTATTTATTTGTAACTTAGTGTTGTTACGTGTGGGGATTTATTAGGCCACACAGGATCGCGTCGAGCTTCTCAGCAGAACTGTTAAACCGAAAGATATCTGTTCAGAGATTCACCGTGTCGTTACGTTTGCACAGTATAATAGCAAGCAAGGGAAGCTGACAGTTGGCAGTGTATTGGCACTCGATCAGTGCAGATGTAGTATTATGGTTATTACGAATCTATTCCTGGATATACTGTCAGAAACAAGAGAAATGCGAGCAATTTAAGACGGGAGCATCGTAATGGCTAGGTACCAAGCAACGCTGTATTTACCCATGACTGTGGTAAGTCTATTATTTATTTACAAATATTTATTGATATTAAACGTAAATATTAAACGTTGGAATGTAGGCTTATACGCATCGTTCTAATGGTCAGGGATATCCTGGATACCATATATTTAATTTCAAGCTAGGAAAAATCGATACTAAGAAAGTGGCTCTATCATAAAACGGGATAACCATGTTTTGGTAGTACCATATCGAGATGATGACTAAGTGGAGTCAAGCGGATTTATTAGATTTGTCGTTTACTGTGATGAAATTTACCTTCGTATAATTAAGTACGGTTGCTTGTTTAAAGTTATCTGTAGGACTCTGGTAGTAGGTGTACACGTAGTCCTATAGGCTATATGATTTATAGTCGGGTCCATGTAGGCATGTAGCAATCTATGCCATATCCCACTAATTCGTAGCCAATGAGTTTTTGTACGTTTGTATTAAAGATACATTCCCACTAAAGTATTTTTTTTATCCGATTGTTAATTAGAGATTTCCAAATAGAATTATGCCAATCTTGGAAAGTAGACACCCGATCTTACCAGAAAACGGTTTTGAGAACATTGAGATGATTAAACGTACAGTAGACTGCGATTAAACGGCAGAAAAAGAAGTAGGCAGAGGGTGATTTGGTCCAGTGTATAGCCACAATAACTTTCTATTTAGTTACCCTTGCAAACTCGGTTTTAACATTAAATAAAAACTGCCCCCCCCCCCAAAAAAAAAAAGAAGAAATATTAAAATTCATCTGTTTCTCAAATAATGTTCATTGACTATTTTTCGGATCATGGAAAACCATGACACTTCAGCTCTTTTCGGAATGTTCTGTCCCATTTAAGATAGAATGAAACAAGTTTTCTATTGGCTGTATGTCAATTTAACGATGCATTATGTAAGATTTAGATAAAGAGCTTGTTGTTCTTGCTATAATAGTCTAAAAATAGATAGTGAAAATTTCAGTCAAAATACCTTATTTTGATTTTGAGAGATGGTATAAATGTTTGAAGTTTTGACAAGAAATAGCGTAAATAGTATGAATGCTACAATATTAAACATACATTATATAGCAAGACCTAAATCTGCCTATTGCAGGTCTTTCTTTAGGCCTGAAATGTTTTCTAAATTATTAATTAGGCATTAATTAACTTATCCAGACCATAATCAACTCGCGATGGCATCGGATTTCTCTGATATTAAATAGATTAGAACAGTTCAGCCATATTCTGATTTAAGCTAAAAATGGAGGAGCGAGACTTAGCTTCAAATAACCAGTACGGTGGTTGAAATTATTGCACACGTCTTGTTAAACCTTCAAAGGCTAATATCTTCGCTCGCAATAGAGTAATTTGAATGAAATTTTCAAATTATTCACTTTACATTATCTATTTTCGAACTACTATAGAAAGAATGGCTAGCCCTTTATCTATATCTTACATAATGTATCTTGAAGCGAATCCTCAATTTTCCATTTTAACGTCAAACGAAGATGTGGAAGACATTGTCTGATGCACCTAGAGAGTTGATTAGGGGCTTGACATGTGAATAAATGTCCAAATAATAATATCTATATAATTTAAAGCCAGAAGGAAGATCTGCAATAGATTTGGCTCTTATGTATTACACTATAGCTTAAAATTTTCCATGAAGCAATCAGAGCAAGTCGAACAATTATCATACCATACTCAATAAGTGAATTGGCGACCGGATTAAACAAGACGGTCAAGGGGGCATCTGCTGGGTTGGAAAGGGAATCGCGCCTAGTCGTTCGGATGGGCAAAAACCGGAGGTCCGCCCGTATATTTATTGGCATGCACGTTAAAGAACCATTGCCAGTTGTAATTCAAGAAGACCAGGCGAAAACACCACTGTCGAACAATTATCATACCATATTAGTGAATTGGTGATGTTTTAACTTTTTGTACCTACCTGACTAAAGAAGACGAGGAAGGGTGACATCTGCAAGGAATCGTGTCTAGTCGTTCGGGTGGGACGAAAGCCCGAGGTGTGCCCGTATATTTCTAGGCATGCACGTAAAAAGCCTTGTCAGCTGGAACTCCAATAAGAGTAGGCGGAAACGCCATTGTTTGTGACCCCCTCCGCACATGTTATCGTTGAAATAGAATTCACCACATGTTAGTCGCAAATTGAGTGAAATAACCTATTAACGGGACTTTAAAAACCATTCCATTCCACAGTTGGATTATGTTGATACAAGACACACAGTATTAATATATCATTTGACCTTGCCCATCCGTAACATAGAAACCGTTTGTAGACAAATTAAATGTACATCGAGTGCAAACAATCGTTCCGCTTCGAATGATTTTAACAAACACATATTGGTATAATTTAAAACCATGTTTTGCAACTGTAGCTGTGACTGGATAAACAGTAATAATTAGTGAAGTATACTGAGCCCAGCGGCCCCCAGTTTAAATCTAATACATGTAGTCCGATCCTAGTGTTACTAACATTATACGGGGAACTATGTTTCAGGTGTATGGGCGGTTATGTACGTTTGGTTTGTATGGAAATTATAGAACATTCAGGTAAGTGACCACCGTTAGAGACGATTGTGGGGTGGGCGAGGGTAATATTAACACTGTTGATATCAGGAAATTAATGGCATGTATTATGGGGGGGGGGGGGTAATATTAACACTGTTGATATCAGGATATTAATGGCATGTATTATGGGGGGGGGGGGATTAACACTGTTGATATAAGGAAATTAATGGCATGTATTATGAGGGGGGGGGGGGGTAATATTAACACTGTTGATATCAGGATATTAATGACAGGATTATTATTCAATTACACTGTTGTTGAAAGTGCGGAGGCCCGAAGTTACAGGATATGATTCATGAATACAATGCAGGATATGAATAACCTTAACTAGGCCTTTCATATTTAAGGCCAAATATGTTTTACTTCACAATTAGTAATTGATTTATACCTGAAAATAGCCACACCTTGTAGTCTTGCTGCCAGATTGCCTGGAAAACTTTTAAGTCGGTGAGCTACGGAGCCCCTGTCTATTTTGATTCTGTACTCCATCAAAGAAGAAATACACATGCAAAAGGATCTGAAGTTTAGCCGAGATTACGAAACATGTAAACACCGTGCAATACTATGGGGGCTTTTGGCTTCGAATTCCAATCGTTAGTGTTTGTTTTATATGTGTACACGCAGAACTTACCTCTGTTTTTTCGTCCCACCCTATACTATATCTCTGACATGGGAAACCAGGGTGTAAAATCCCGAGCGAATCTCGGCCAACTGCACTAAGATCGATGATCGATCTCGGGATCTGGTGGTTTGTGAACCGGTGCTATTCTGACTGCGCCACCGTGACTCCCCCATCCCCACCCCGGCGTAGGTATCTAATAATGTTGAAGAACATTTGAGTAACGTCACAGCTGTGCAATGCGATTATGGCAGACAGATTTGGTGGTATTTAAAACATTCATAGAAATGCTTAGCATATTTAGATCATTTAAACTTATTTTAACTGTAAGTGTGATATTTGTAACTAAATGTACTAGGAAAACTATAAATTATTAGCATGAGTTAACTGCCCAGAGCCAGGCGTTGCTCTGAAGGAAGTATACCTTTAAATATTTTATTATTTTACAGGTGTAAAGAATCCGAAAAATGTTGTCGTGATGATTGTTGTGAAACAGATGCTGAAGTATATACACTTTGGTATTTCTGGTAGGTTGTAACATTAATAACTACATGTATCTCTAGCATTCTTGGCCGTTTTGTTTTATTCGAGGATAATTTATGTCTCGTTGATCATATTAAAGGTCCGTCGGGAAGAAACCCCATAGCCATATTTGACGATGGTGGCCAAAGATGTTTGTTTTTTAGAATTTTAAACTAGGAGGTAAATTATGGGGGGGGGGGGGGAGAGATCACCAGTGTACCGATAGTCAGAATTCGATCACAGAGTTGAGTCGCCTTCTGGATCCTTCAGTTTCCTGACACTGCTAGATATACGAACACCATAATATATTGATCCTCCCAAAAACATCGACATGTTTTGGGATGGGGTTTTTAACATCATTTCAAAATACCTTTGTGTTATAACATGTCTATATAAACGTAAATAAATTTGTTTTTCAGGGTAGCAATTCTTCTTCTGTTAACATTACTATCAGGATTGTCATATATAGCATGGAGACGTTGGTTGAAAAGTAAACAAGAAAGTAGAACATCAAATAATCAAAGTATTACAACAGGTTTGTAGTGGGCTATAAAAAATGAGGCAACTTGCCCAAGGCAAATCTAGCGATCCGAACGACTCAATATTCAGAGCAAAAATTTTCTGGCAAGCGATTTTGACCATTTCGTCACATTTCTATACTTAAACACACTTTTTCATTGGATTGTCTGTAAAGGTTCGAAATTCGAAATGAAAAGCCTTGGAACCTTTGCCAAATGGTGCTTTATCTCTTGGGACGAAACAACCGTGGCGTCCACGTAAAAGAAACCTTGGCAGTTGAAATTCGATATAAGAGTAGGCCACTGCGCGACTGTCCAGGAAAGATATCCCTCATAGCACACTACATGGCGTACGCCCGTCTTCATTAGCGCAATCAGGGCGGAACAGTAAAACGTTAAACCCTATTTCATTTTCACGTATAGTCGTTCATCGGGACAAAAAAACCAAAAACAAGGTTCCGTGTACATTTTGGGTACCATGGGAAAAATAAACCCTAAGCAGTTGGAATTCGATATAAGAGTAGGGAGCAGAAGAGAAGGACGTTAAAACGTCATTTCATTTCCCTAGGTCTATCTCAGTTAATAAAATCAGCGTCTTCTTTTTTTTATCTTTTCAGGGGTAGCCACAACAGAATATACACAAGTGTCTGGTATAGCCCCTCCGCCATATAAACATTCCCCACCCCCTTACACTCGAGTAGATACTGTTATACCACCCCCAGCATATCAAGAGAAAGACTCAATGACGTCAGTTACCCACAGTTAACGTCATGTCAACTTTGTTTTTACATAAAAAGACAAATTTAGGAATTATTTATATACAGTCAAGTAAGAAGAATCGATGTTCGGTCAGTTTTATGCAACTCACAACTGGAATATGTACTGTATAAATGTGTTTAGAGAAGAATACAATATGTATTACATTCATCTGTATATAACACAAACTAATATCTATATACAAGATATAATAATACACATATACACAACTAATTATACAAAAATAGCAATGTGACAACACTAGGGCAAGAAACACAAACGTGTATACCTTCACGTTAGAGTGAACGTCCAATTGGAGTTTATACTGCAAAGACTGAGTGCGTTCTATTAGCTGTCAATATGGTCAATCACTATGGAGATATATAAACCGTGTGCGGAGGGGGGCGTATAATTATTAACCAAATCTTTTGTAACCCGAGTTTTCGTAGCACACGCACGTGTGTTGTTAATTATTACGGATATGCCAATGTTTTATGCTGAAACTTTTAAGCATTTAAAGACCTGTTGACTATACTGATTTGCATGTGTAAACTGGATAAACCAGATGTGACGTGGGTGTTTAACGGCCGCTTCCACCGAAGTGATAATCGTCGACAAATGTGACGTGTCGGACTTCTCTTTTTAAATGAAAGATACGAATGATTTTATGCGTGCCAAGTATAAAGGAAGGACTAAAATAGGATTTAACGTCCTACTTTTTTGTATTAACCGGACTAACGAAGAGGAGGGCAAAAACAAAAAGACCATTGCTATACGTTTTGTCTTCCGATTTGCATATTTATACCTGCTTTGATAAACTATCTTGTGAAATGTGGAAGTTCACCTTTAAATCAAAAACATCACCAAGTTTATGCAGACAAATTATATGATGTATATTTAATTATTCTTTGTGGGGATCAGAATGTAGTTAAATGTTTGTTTATATTTTACTATATGTTATTCATGTTAAAGTTACTCGTTGTTTTATGTATTATGTTGAAGTATTACTTACCGTACTATGTAGGGGTGTGGTGAGTGGGGCTATGGTCCTGGGTATTCATTTCATATTTAAACTGGACCCTATACCTCGAGCCTTGTGGGGCACACAATCAATGTGTTGGGCCTCGGTCATCACGAAATCTCATTGATTACAGTACAACACCTACTGCCTACCAAAGACATGGGTTTTTACACCAGGACAACATCGCTGTACGCCTCAGATTAGCTTAGGGGTAAACATGCCTTACCATGTACACGGCTTTATAGTTAAAACTTATAGCTGTTAGATCAGAACGGTGTCTCAGTAGAACATATCATGACCTTCGCTCGATTATTGAACAAACCTACTCTCTTTGATTTTCACTATGATACATTAATGTTCTTCAATTTGCGGTTCGGTTTCTTCTCCATATCATCATTGCACGCCCTCACTTTCGCCTGGCCTGTTGGTTTCAATCCAATACATGACTCACGTATATGCCTGATTGCTTTCTTTGATATATTCATTTATGGTTTTCTGGTTTCCCACAATTTCTAGTTTAAGACCCGGTAAAAAGATCTTATACGCAGAATCCTTCTTAGACAAGTGTCGATGAATACCCGTAGTTTGGATTCGATGCCCTTCTTTGCCTCTAAGTCTCCAACCCATAAAAGTAAATTTCCTTAGATGGCATTGACGGACTGACGTATAAAAACCGGACCGTGTTACCTAATGTTATTAAAGTAGTATTAATTTATTAAAATCCAATCATGTCCAGACAGGCTAATAGCATGGTCATTTACAATCTTTATTATCCTTACATACCTCAATATTTCTCAAATACAACGTTTTAAAACTCTTAATTCTTACATTGGTTGACTACTAAAATAACATTTGTTTACAATAACTGATGATATAGCAAGATAAACAATGACCATTATTCAAGAATTGCAAGTTAGAATTAATATGCATATTTCAATAATTAGTAGGATTAATGAGGATAAATTATTCTGGCGTGTATATGCATACTTATTAATTATGCTATTTTGTTATAAAGAGTTAATTGTTTTTTGGTGTCAGACTGCAGCTATTTAACAATGATAAATACATGACATAATAACCATTACAATCATTTTCCGTCGTAGTTTTCCGTCAGTGGTGCAGGATGGGGGACCTGGAGAGGACAGCTGTCTAGTCGTTCGGAAGGTGCGAAAACCAGAGGTCGCGCGTACACATTGGCGAGAACATAAAAGATCCCTTGGCAGTTGGAATTCGATATAAGAGTAGGCCTTAGCGTCGCTGTCCGGACAAAATTTCCCTCATAGCACACTGTATCTTCATTAGTCCAGTTGGGGAAGGCCAGTAGGACGTTAAACCCCATTTCATTTCATTTCAATCATTGTATATCCAGTAACAAAATTAATGAACAATAAAAAGGTTATTACAAATTAACAATAAACGTATAGGCCGACATCTTACTGAATACTCGAGTGGACATTACCCCCACCCTCACCTCTCTCTCTCTCTCTCTCTTTCTCTCTCTCTCTCTCTGTTATCAATTATCTCCCCTTGAATCAGATTTTATAAGCGCGTATATTATTAAACACATATACATCTATATTTAACAATAAATTATTATATATTGTAAAGTTGTGGGGTTTCCCTTTTAATCTTTTTTTTTTATTGTGTTGTTTATTAAATTGGTAATAAATAAATATTTATTATTCTTTCGGACTGGATTCAGGCCGACCTGCACTCTACAAATATTATGGCTAACAGTGATTTATGTAGCGATTTACATACATATACTCTTTCAATGTCATTTAAAGTTGGTTGGATAAAAAAGATAAGTATAGAATCTGGCGAGTTATTGTCTCAATTGTCTCTTAGTGCTATGCAATTAAAGATTCCTACAAAATTATCGCATGCAGAACTACCAATCCGTTCCTGTCTACGGATACTGGTTGTATATAATGTTTTGCTCCAGTGTTGAGGTGTTCAACTTACAGATTGGGTAACTACATGGCGACCATGGCCGAACTTGGTCAGACTCTTGTTGTTAAATAAGAACTAAAACGATTAATGGATGTAAAGATCCGTAACGTCCGCTTCCACAAAGGATGATATCGCAGACAAAATGAAAAGAGTGTTCTTTAATACAAACAAATTGAACGTCCAATACATCATTATACACGATATAATGAACAGGCTGACTTTTTAAGCTTTTCAAATAAGAATAATTTAAAAAAGGGTAAAACAATGAAAACGTTCTTGTATATCAAAATGTCACTTTAAACCACGGTGGTAAAATTCGCTGTCGTGAGGTGAGAGTGCGTCTCATTTTCCCACTTCTTTAATAAAATCAAGTTAAAGGAGGAGGTCCAGCTCATTGATGTTTGGTATCACCAAAGCGGATAGAAAAAACCTGCAGTGAGAAAAGAATCCGCTTGCTTTGTGTGAAAAAGCGAAATTCTCGCAGTAAAAGACACATAGCTGGACTTGTTGATTATTTACAAATCAAAAACTGTTCGCGTGATTATTTCCAATAAATATATTTAAATAGGAATCCACATCCTTGAATATTTATTTTACGTAATTATTATGTTTAGCGTTCTTCTTTGATCTTAGAAGAGTGTTATCTTTGTTAACTGGGTTCCCTGGTTCCTGCTATTGTTTATCTTACCTGGCGATTAAGAAGAAACCAAGGTGTACCCTGTCGGTAATCCCCTTTGATATCTTCATTACTAATTGGATTAATCGATGGCTTCATTAAAGACGAAAGAGGTTGTTTAACCACCCGCTCTCTTTTGTGATTTTAGTTATCTTTAGGTTACCTTTCCGCATGCCGTAACGATATTGTTTTATTGGAAGATTATTAAGAAACCACATATTATCGTGTCGGTGCCAACCTTTGATAACCTCATCAGTGATGGGATTAATCAAGTAATGGATTGGAGATCAAAGGGGTCGTTTAATCATCCGCTCTCCTTTATAAGAGAGAGTGACGAATGTTCATCATTACATTAATTCTATTTGAATAGCGCACTTTCCGTCCTCGTTTTCTGAAATATTCACCATGAGCTGTCAATTGTTTGAAGAGTTACCTCCCCGTACACCCGCTGATGGTTGTGAAAGCATGGATAGCGGAGAACTCATGGATGTTTCTTTTAGCGATATTCTACCTTACATCAAAATTGAGGTAAGTAATATTTGGCAATTGAAGCTAGACGCATTTCACTATCCAGGAAAGCCTATTTTAGTTAAATTAAATGTGCAACGATTTCACCATTTAAAAAAAACTTTAGTACAATCGATCGGTGAATAAGGACAAATTGCAAGGTTTTGATTTATAAATGGAGCAAAGGGTGGTGATCCAAATAAAATGACTAAAAAGGTCAACATTAATTTTGATTTTATTATTTTTTTTTACAGCAAATATCACTTGACAGACAATTAAAAACTGAACATGGTTTTAGAGGCAGATGTTTAAAAAGAAACATGGAAATATTCAGGATAAAACAAGCTTCATTAAAGAGAAAAGACAGCTTTTTATATAGACAGCATAAACAGATCAAAAATCGTCTGCACAATTTCCTCAACTCTGCTTTTTGTCACGAGAATATGGTAGTGCCCAGTGGTTCATGTAGTGACCGAGAGAATAAAATGACGCTGTCCACCCCTAAACAGAAATCCACATCAACACAAACCAGAAGTAGAGCTAATTCATTGGCATCATCTACTGGCTTATTAACGATATTTAAGAAAGGAAAGAAGTGTACATTTTGTTGAAAAATCAATCGGAGACATTTTGTTGAAAAATCAATCGGAGACATTTTGTTGAAAAATCAATCGGAGACATTTTGTTGAAAAATCAATCGGAGACATTTTGTTGAAAAATTAATCGGAGCATTTTGTTGAAAAATCAATCGGAGACATTTTGTTGAAAAATTAATCGGAGACATTTTGTTGAAAAATTAATCGGAGACATTTTGTTGAAAAATTAATCGGAGACATTTTGTTGAAAAATTAGTCGGTGATATTTTGTTAAAATGTTAATCAAGGACATTTTGTTAAATTGTTAATCAAGGACATTTTGTTAAAATTTTAATCGAAGGCATTTTGTTAAAATTTTAATCGAGGACATTTTGTTAAAATGTTAATCGAGGACATTTTGTTCAAGTTGCTGATGCTATGCGTAAAGTTAATTCAGTACTTTCTTTAGTGCAATACTAATCCGTATAATTTACCCTACTCCTTTATTTGCTTGTTGAATTGTTGTTGAATTTGTTTACTTGTTATTCTGGTGTTAAGTTTGTTTACTTGTTATTCTGGTGTTAAGTTTGTTTACTTGTTATTCTGGTGTTGAGTTCATTTGTTATTCTGATAAATAAAAATTGTTGAAACTCATTTCGGATTTCGGTTTGTTTTTTATGGAGCGAAACGATTGTCAACATAACATTATAGCAACTGTGATAATATGACCGTATATTTTACACAATTAACACCCTTCATAAAAAATAATTCAAGCTGATAATTTATTGAACATCTTTTAGAGAATTTTAGGTCATAACAGGGCTATTTCTTTTGTTGATCAAATGAGTTTGACTTTTTCAAAACACACGCGTTACTGTATACTTCTCAATCTTTAGATTTAAATTTTTCAACTTTTTTACATCATGACCCAAGTTTACTGCTAACAAGTCTTGTGATTTTGTTGTGAAGGCTACTCATAGTTGTAGTGGAATGGGCTTGAGGCTGTGGTTCCGCACCCCTCTCCCCAACAGAATATCCCACAATTCTCCTCTATTCCAATGTACGTAACTCCAGTACGCACTGCACCGAGCAATATAAATAATTTCCATTTTATCCTAATTATAATTTAATGTGCGTGAATAGTTCAACCGAAACTTTATAATTTATATAGCTTTTATTTTGAAAGAATCAAAATAATAAAATCAAAGGAAAACAAAGGATGTGGCGAAACGCCAACATATCCTTTAGAAACTGTCGAATGAATAGACTAGGTAAAGCATAGATCGGACTTATTATTAGTCATACATCGGGTGTGAATATTAAGCCAAGCATATAGCTTACTGGAGCGCAATATCAAAGTGAGTGTTATCACCGACACGACGGACGAGGACAATATTAGAAAGGACCGGTGTACAGGTATATTTGTTCCCCCGTTATTTGTATCCTACCTCTAATGGATAACATGTCGCACGTACGAACCAGTTTGCTATCATAGATAAATAACCACATACAGTCCTAGACGACCGAAGTCGTATACAGCCACATACAACACCAAATCGAATGATATGAATGTGTCGAATATTATGTAGCCAATTTTTAGTCTTTAACTCAATATCATCCAAAGTCTTCGGCATTGAAAACACGAATTATTTGTCAATTTAAATCAACAATGATCTTACCTGGAAAAGATGGGCTTCTGATATCCAATTTTTAAGAAAATATAAACATTTTACCTTTGGTACACGAATCGTGTAACATAATGCGTTTCAGCGCCATTTGTAAAAAGGGACTCGAAAAATGAGGCTAGACATATTCCACAAGTCATGTCAAACGGTGACGTCATATCTGGAGAGCATGCACAATAAATACTATCGGTGTAGACTGGAATAACCAGACGCTAGAGATTGTCATTCGATTGAGACTTCTGGCGTATTTCGCCCAACATAACTGATTTGAAGTTAGAGTAAAAACGGAAACGATTGAATGTAAATCAGTTTATATACATTCATATTACATAAGCGTTGCGACCCATTTCTGTCAATTTCTAGGTCCCAAATATTAGTGATTTAGCTCCTTTAAATGATCTCAGTTTTCCTACTTATTGTCAGTAGAATATTGAATATGTAATACTATGGCACATTTTTGAACTTGTCATCTATGCTACTGACCTACGAACTTCAAACATGCTGCACTTCCAAATTGTTTAGCTTTATCGTGGAGCACCTTTGTGTTAAAATGTATCACTCAATTTTGAAAATTCATTAGAAATCGAATTTTACCAGATTAGGTCGAAATAAATAAGAAAAGAAGAAGATCCTATTTTTGTAGGTTTGGTCCAGAAAAGCCAGTCTCTACTCAGACATTAGAAAACTTGTCTGTGTGAACTAATATAATATACACTTCAAATGTCGCATATTATAGCTTAGCTGCCGAATTATACTTCAATAATCAAAACCCACGTTCCGTTTTAAATATCGCACGAATTCGGTCTTCAATCAGGAATTGAACCCTCCCCTCACAAAAACAAAAATGGCATGACAGTACCAAAAAAGGGGTTTAAGAATGCGAACTCATTAACATATCCTATGACACGGAAATACTAACAATTAGATATTATACAAAAATAATAACATAAGTGGTGCGTATTCATACGACTGAACCGCCAGTTTAGTGAAGATTAAATTTTGTTTTACAAAAAGGCGTAAAGTTAAAACAGATACATTTATGTCTAAGGTGTTTGTTCATACGGCTTAAACGCCGATATGCTGGACATTATATCATGTAACAGGCGAAAAAGAAACAGCTTGTTGATACTATTGAACTGCCAGGACGAAAGGCGATTTTATTTAATAGGTCGGAGATTTAATAGCTTTGAGGTTGTTCATAATCAACGTGGGGCAGGTTTTATTTAATGGAACAATATTACTTTCAGGACGGTTATTGGTGTCGAACTGCCAATGTGCACAGGTAAACGTGTAATTTTACGCGTAGGGCAAAATAACAGAGGTAGCCAAAACCAACGGTGTGACATAATACCTGAAGAATGTGACCTAGTTTATCTATTAAACTTACCTGTAACGTCGCAAATGAATATACATATAATGGCCGTTATAGGAAATTTTAAGCTGGTCTTGTGGTTAAAAAAACTGAATTAAAAGGATGTAAAAGAGGAACTTATTTACTGAATTATAACTGAGAATTAAATCGAGGTAAAAATCTTTGATTTGTTATTTTGAATATGGTCGACACTAACCGTACAAAAATATCACCGATATTTCTTTCTCGTTTGAATTTGTTCGATTGTTAACAACAAAAATATGGCCGATTATATTACCGGTAGCTTATAATATGTCGCAATTCACAAAAAGTTATATTGTCCAGTAATATATCATACTTTTTGAAGAACACTGGAGGAGAATAAAAATAAATGTATTTGAATTTTGAATTGTCACATTATTAATTGTAAGGGCCAAGATGATGGATGAGGACAGAGATGAATTAGGTTATTTTGGACATTTTTAACAGAGGTTTTCTTATTTTAACGCACCTGTGTAGCTGGTTTTGTGGTGAATCCAGACATATTAATGAAATGGCTAGTATGGTCTATCTTTATTGAAATTGGGTCAGACTACATTTTAAAATGGCTAGACCTTTTTGATGTGGGTCCAAAATAGAATTGTCTTATTCCTTGCTTTTTATGTTTTGATTTGTTTTGCGGGATTTTAAGTCGGTCTTAATTGAAAATTGTACATCTACTTCTGAAATGAAATAAAAGGAAAGGGGGTTATTAATTTCCTACTTTCGGCACCAACCAGACTATGAGGGATATTTGGCATTGTTTTTGGATGGCTGAATGGTTAGCGTGTGCGCGCTGTATCATAAAGTCTGTCATTGAGTCGACTGGCGTGGTTTCGAATCCCCGGTTGTCCGTGACAAGGAGTAGGGTCGCCTGTCCAACCTCGTGGGTTTTCTCCGGGTCCTCCGGTTTCCTCCCACTGCTAAAGACCCCTACGCGCAAGAGAATTATGTAAATAAAATTAAACCATATGTTAGTCCCGAAATGACCTAGTTTGTGTCGAGTGGACATTAAACCCCATTTCTCTCTCTCTCTCTTGGCATTGTTTGCTTATCTGACTAATTTTTTAGGTGGCCCTTTTTTCACAAAGATGATATCAGAAATGGAAAATCTCTTTGAGAAAACAATGGTGTGATGCTTGTGGGGCGAAGCGTGCATTTTTCAATCCCAAGTTAATGGGCACTAACCCTAACCCATAATCCACATACAAACCTAAGACTAAAAGGGGGAAAATGGAGAGCCTGTACTGATATTTTGCCCGGACAGCAACACTACAGCCAACTCTTATTTCGAATTCCAACTGTCAATAGTTCTTTTACATGCAGCCACGAGTATACACTGTTCCTTGTCACTGCTGACAAGGGTCTCTGCCAACACTGTGAGCGAACCTGTGACCTCTTGGTTAGCGTGCCAGTGTCTTACTTACTGAGCCACATTGATTCAACAGCTGCATCTATTATATATAGTATATTGAATATTGAATATCAAACTCTACTTGTACATTGTATATATTCTTTGAAATTTATTTAAATGAGTCTTTATTTTGATTTCTGGGGGGGGGGGGGATTGGGGGTTGGATGGCCGAATGGTTAGCACGTGCGCGCTTTATCATAGGTCTGTCATTGAGTCAACTGGCGGGGTTTCGATTCCCCAGTTATAATTGACAAGGAGTAGGGTTGCCTGTCCAACCTCACGTGTTTTCTCTGGATCCTCCGGTTTCCTCCCACTGCTAAAGACCCCCACACGCAAGCGAATTATTGAAATATAATTAAACCATGTGTTAGTCCCAAAATGACCTAGTTTGTGTCGAGTGGACTTAAACTCTCTCTTTTTGATTTCTGTCCATATTATTGTGTTGCAGTTTTATTAAAGTATTGCATTCTTTGAATCTCTTATGGTTTTACTAGTGTTTTCCAATTGTTTATTGCTCAGTTTAGGTGTAAATTGAAATCTCTGATTTAAAAATAAACGGTTCATACAGTAGGTCCTAACTTATTTGGTGGCTATTTTGATATGAATAATAAGACCAGCCTGTCTGTGTCGAAATATGTGTTAAATTCTTTTGTATCAAATACTGAGTTTTATATCATTTATTAGTTATCATAGATATCCATATTCCTTAACCTGAAGTGATAACATGAATTGACCTATTCTTCATAATAATGGTGAGATGTGTAATGCTTGGTGGGTGGTGGGATAGTGTAGGATTTGGGTTGGGATTGTACATTATGACATATTAAAAATTGGGAATATTTATATTCATGAGTGATACTTTTAATTTGACAATTTCTTTATTGGCGATTGTTGGTATCCATCAATCCAGCGAAAATTGTCTTCTTTAACTGACAAATACTAATCTGGACAAAATAGCACCAAATCTGCATACAGGATCGAAGGTCAGAGATTCTGGAAGAACAGCCATTACCCTTTATTCGAATGTTCAAATACAGTATGCAGAATACAATGTTGACTGTTGAACCAAGATCATTGCATGAACTTAAACATAAACAGTCAGAAAGCCAGTTACCATAATAGAAAATGGATATTTTTTTTTCTGTCCAGGCTAATATTGTTTGTATTCAAATCAGAGCAAATTTAGCCTTGAGCGATTGAGACTAGACAATTACTGGTAAAAACATATACAACATGTACCAAAGTTGAAATGAAATGGGGTTTATGTCCTCTACCCTCCACCCAGTACCGCTGAGCCATCTTATTCAATGAGCCACCATGACTCCCCAATTTCTATTTACTGCAATATACGTGATGGGAATGGTTGACAGATTCTTAAAAGTCTGGCCTACATAAATTCTTTAAAGAATATTTAAAATAATTGCATTGTTGTACATGTAGATACATCTACCTGCAATGGACTTCTTATAGTCTATTTTTTTTATGTTGTTTTGAATACAGCAATCAATCAGAAGTTTACAAGATGAAAAGAATTTGCAAAATTTGAATATCGCAATTATCATAACTGATGATCTTGTTGGTGAATGAATTACTAATTATTTGCTAAGTTTCTTTTTCACCTGATTAAATGTGGAATGTTTGTGGAATGCAGAAGTAATTATAAACATGAAATTGACCTTCAAATAAACCTTTAAAAATAAAAAATAAATTTTTTTCTCAACTCACAAATGTGCAGCTTTGTACATATATGTCATAACCAAAATTTAAACCTGACTTTAAATAAATTTTAAAACAAGAGCCAGTCATCTCTCCAGTTTGAGGCAATTCAGTAGATTTAAAGATACGTTGTGTAAGATTTAGATAAAGAGCTAGCCATTCTTGCTATAATACATGTAGTTCAAAAATAGATAATGTAAAATTAATAATTTGAAAATTTCATTCAAATTACTCTATTGCGAGCGAAGATATTAGCTATTGAAGGTTTGACAAGACGTGTGCCATAATTTCAACCACCTTACTAGTTGATCGAAGCTAAGTCTCGCTCCTCCATTTTTAGCTTAAATCAAAATATCGTTGAACTCTTCTAATCTATTTAATATCAGAGAAATCCGATGCCATCGAGAGTTGATTATGGCCTGGATAAGTTAATTAATGTCTAATTAATAATTAATTAATTTAGAAAACATTTCAGACCTAAAGAAAGACCTACAATAGGCATGCAGATTTAGCTCTTGCATAATGTATGTTTAACAAATGAAGATCAAATAGATGTTTATTATGTGTTTGCAGCTTTGATTTTATTTTAATTTTCACATGCACATGTAGAAAGTATCTGGTCAAACCTCATGTGAACATTGAAGTCAATTTGTTAATAAGAGTATGTGTACATGCTTAGAATACTGGCAATATACATGTATATATTTCCCCCACCCCGCAAGACCTGATAAAAACAAAATGTTAAACTCCATTCTAATAGGTTTAAAAACAAATGTTATTATTTCTGTTTACAGGAATTCTATAATCATGGAGGGTTTTCCAACAGCCATATATTTAGCCAGCGAAGAAAGTGTTTTTCATAATCAAGGTGTTTTATTTCATTTGGTGCGTCCAACAAAGAAAGGGGATGGAGTGGAATCCGCTGCTGGACTGGCTAATGTTATACCAAGAAAAAGGTAGGTGTACTATTCATGTACATGTATGACATATATCTATGATAAGATATGAAGATATAAATAACTTTTTTGAACAATGTGTAAATATATTTAGTAAATGCACAATGACAGGATACTATCTGTGTAAGCGTTAGTCTCACCCTTTCATATTACTTAGTTAAGACATGTTCTCACTGATCTGGCTCTGTCCCACTGTGTTCTCATGTCTCTATCCTCCGTGTTTCCCATGTCTCTGTCCATTATGTTTTCCCATGTCTTTGCCAACCATATTCCCATGCATTGTATCTACCTTCCTCCCATAAATATATCTCACTAGGTTCCCATTTATCAGTCCTACTATATTCCCATTAATTTGTCTCCCTAGGTTCCTGCTTATCAGCCCTACTATATTCCCATTAATTTGTCTCACTAGGTTCTTGGTTATCAGCCCTACTACGTGACAAGGATTAGGGTCGCCTGTCCAACCTCGTGGGTTTTCTACGGGTCCTCCGGTTTCCTCCCACTGCTTAAGACCCCTACGCGCAAGTGAATTATTGAAATAAAATTAAACCATATGTTAGTCCCGAAATGACCTAGTTTGTGTCGAGTGGACGTTAAACCCCATTTCTCTTTCTCTTATCAGCCCTACTATATTCCCATTTATCTGCCGTACTAGTATTACCCATGTACACCATATTCATGTGTGTCAGTCTCACAATGTTCCCCATAAGATGAATGTTCCCATGCTAGTGTGAACATATTACTAAGTGTCATTCTCACCATTCTTAATTTAAAAATGGTTAAATCTTAACAGAAGGGAAAACAAATATATATCTATATTTTAAGTGTACATTTGTACTTTAAAGAAAAATGCCTTGGAAAAACTTTTAAAAAAAGATGATTTTGAGTTTTGTCAATCTGTCATGGGAATGTCATCATACATGTAGTCTATTCTCTGTCCATCTCTTGGAAATCTGAATCATTTTAACAATTGTTTCTATTGATTAAAGGATATATCGTATGGAAACTGTTGAGGAGTTAGATCTGTTTAAAAATGAATTATTAAAAAGACCATTAGTGCTACAACCAACATCAGAAAGTGGTGAAGGTTTTGGATACGGGGACACAGGATGTGGTTTATGTATAAATACTGGTAAGTACATGGTAATAAATACATGTGGCTTATTTCTACATTCCTTAAAATATATCCTGGTTTGTGAGCCAGGACCTTACTAAGTCATTAGATGAGCCCTGTCTGATCCACCCACTAGGTTGCCTACAAATTGAAAGTTTGCTTATTGCTAATTAGAAGATTGGGTTGTCCCTTCTCAACAGAAGTACTAACAAACTTCTGTAGAATAAAATATTTTTTATTGTATGATTTGAGAAAAGGTTGTTAGCTGGAGCTACAAGCATACATGTTCAATGGTTTGTCCACACATTGCTACTCTTTCAAAAAAGTGTTTTGCATAGATGTGATCCACCTAAACAAGTTTCTAAAATCAGGATACAATCTTTCAACTTTGCATAGATGATATACAATGTACATGTATATGTGTTCTTCTGTTTCTAAAAATTTATAGACCTTTTTCTCTTTTAAAAATTTCAGTAAACTGGGTTCTTTTGATAAATCAAACACATCCAAAGATACTAGGAAGAATACAAATGGGTGTTGATGCTGCCAAAGCTGCTATGAATAGAGAAGAGCCTTTTCTATTACGGGTAAGATCATATACATGTTACAAAAATTAGTACAGAAACTTATCATGTATTACACTGTATTTATTAGGTTTATTACATTACATGTGCTTTTTATTATATACCCATTATACGTTTTATTATTACATTACATATAAATTCTGTTTATATTTTATTATTACATAATAAATTAAACGTTTTACATGACATAACAAAATTCCATTAGTTGGTTTAAGTAGTTAAATATATGTAGCTTTTCATTATGAAATGGCAAAGAATTGACATGTTTTGATTATTCAAACACAACAACACTGCCAAATTTATTAAAGAAACAATTGTACGTAAATCAACTGACTGATTTATTTCAATATATTTAATGTCTTCCTTCTTTTTTCTTAGTTTAAATTTGGATCCTTGCTGGAAAGAATGCATTATGACGTGTTTAAGGATGGCTTGGACTTGGACGATGTTATACAACTGATTCACTCAAAATTACGCTACGCTAATTGGCAATATGGAGAATTGATTGTTCGTTATCCTGGACCTAAGGACACTGGTAAACGAAAGGTATTTTAATTTAACTACTTTGATTAATTTAAAAAGATATCATTGTTCGTTTGGTCTACACATGGTAACTTATTGATGAAAGACAATAATCAAATGACAATTAAAGTCTGAACGTCATTTGTGAGTTTGATGAATCCTATCCATTTTTGTGAAAGTTGAATTTCTATAAGGAATATCAGTCCCAAAATTGTTCAGATGCATCTGCTGCAAACAATATAAATAGGATAAGGATACAAAATTATCACCACAGATAATATTTAGATAGGCCACCTTTTAATTGGGAAGCCATGGTGGCTAAGTGAGTAAGACACTGGCCCGCTAGCCGGGAGGTCACAAGTTCGCTCCCGGTGTTGGCAGAGAAAGTTCACTGAGATTTTCCAGCATGGTTTCCCCTTGTCAGTGGTGCAGGACGGAGGGCCTGATAACAGGTCCTGTGTACACATTGGAGCGCATGTAAAAAATCCCTTGGCAGTTGGAATTCGATACAACAGTAGGCCGTAGCGCCATTGCCAGAGCAAAATGTACCTCATAGCACACTATATGGTGTATGCCTGTCTTCATTAGCCCAGTAGGAGCAGAACAGTAGGATGTTTTATTTGAGTACATTTTACCTTATGTTAAACAGTGGATAATTTGAGCTTTTCCGAAAAATGCAGAAATGTTTTCATAATACTGTGCCACATCTGAAATAACTTGAATTACCCTTTAATTATGATTTAATATTAACGCAAGATACAATTTATTGACGCACAATTACTGAGTTTAATACTAAGCGACATTTCAATGAAGATACTCTCGTCTTTATCAAGCAGATGATTCAGATGTGAATGATATCTGTATCATTTGCTCAATAAAGATGAGAGTATCCTCGTCGAAACATCGCTTAATATTAAACTTGGTAATTGTTTATCCATAAAATTTTACCATGAGTTAATATGTTCACTTACTAAATGCCTATCAAAGAAAATGATATTTTTTACAGACAGGAGTGATGGATATACAGTTTCAGTTTGAGGATATAGATGTGGATGAAATTGAAGTAAAAGCACCTTTGCCTTATGCCCCACCTAGACCTTCAAATTATCCAGTACAAGGAGGTACAAGAGATTTCAAACTTTAATCTATCATGATAATATACATGTATCAACACACAGGGATGGATTGAGGGCTGAGTTCCCAGATCCTGGCCCTGTGAGAGGTTCCCACTTTACAAGGAGATCCTACGGTATTGCTCCATCTGGGCATGATTTTTAAAAAAAAAAAAATAAATTGACTGTAAATGAGGATTCTATACATGTATATTGGGATGTTTCTAGTTATGCACCAATTTCGTTTTTGGCAATCTTACCAATTCATCAAAAACAACGTAAATTCAAGACAAGAAAGCACCCCCAAACTATGTGTTAACATTAACTTCTTTAGGAGCCACTGATGCTAACATACGCATAGGCTCCTTCTCAGTCTATTCCTGTCAATTGCCCCCAACTGTTATGCATCTTGTTGTTGTTCTTCAGTTCGACACGAAGTACAATGTTTAACTTGGAGAATTGCATATCGATTGACAGAATTCAAATTTCGATAATATCTCAGAATTCCAGGAGGGCATGCTTAGTTCCTTGTCTTACGTGTTTCATGTTTAAAAGTTACATTAGAATTTAAACCTTTAGCACTTACACCCCAAACTGCCCTGTCAGTGCATAGCTGTGGTACATGCAAAATGGTGCTTTGTTCGATCAATGCCATTGGTTGATATTTATATTAAATGCATTCTCATTTCTTTCATTTTTAGATGAAATTCGCGATGTTTTACCCGGATGGACAGTGAATGAAGTAACGCCATTAGAAAATATTGGTGAAACGGCACCGCAGAGTAATTACAGTTACGCACAAGCTGGGCGTCTCTATGAAAGTTTCCGCAGGAAAAAACGACAAAAGCCACAAAAACCTGGAGATAATTTTCATTCAAGTACGCGGGAAGGATTTGAAAATGCAATTGAATTGGATGAAGTATCCCCGTCTGTAATGGGTGGTGGTATGGCTGCACCGCCTTCTCCACGAGGTGCTTCAGGATATTCTAATTCTTATGGTGCTTCAGGATATAGTGAGTCCAATCATAATGCTAAATTACAACGAAATAATGAATATACCAACAACCGTAGAGGTGATAAAAGTTACAGAAATCCTCCACAACAAGAGAATGCTTCAAGTTTGTATCCCGACGTGCAGATTATGGGGAGAACCCACAATTTGTATGATAACAAAGACGCAGAATCATTCCAATCCCTTCGAATCAATGGGACAGAATCTGAACGGTCTTCCTACTCTACGGCAGCAAGCTCAGCAGGTGCTGATAGTGGTTACCATGGTAATGAAAGTGATGCTTACTACAAAGATAATCATCATAATATGGAGATACAACAAAAGGGTGCTTATAATGCTTCAGTTTCAACGCCACGTGAAAATCTTGGATTCCATCATGAAGATGATGGTGATGATATATTAACAAAACATAAGGAATTTGTTAATAAAATGTTACACAATAATTCTGGACTCAATCAGGGAAAACAACCAAGACCAAGAGAACATAACTCTAATGGTCATTTAAGAGGACCTCAGATACATAAAGGCAGCAGTAATGGACGTGCTCTTCGGGGTAATGACACTACTTATATACAAAGTGATCAGACACAACAATATCAACCCAGATTTCAATTTGGGAATGAAGAAATGAGTGAAAGCTTTATATAAAAAAAAAATATCTGCAAAGATATATACCACGTGTAAAATATTCAGAAAGTGCATAGTGTAATATTCATTATAATCGTTCCTTATTTTACGATAATTCCAGGAATGTGTATTATGGACTACAGTTTGTATATATTATATAGTATTTGATCATTCCATATTTTATGATAATTCCAGGAATGTGTCTTATAAAATATAGTATGTATATTATATAAACATTCCATTTTTATTTTAACTTTTAAGACGTCTTTTTGATTTCACCCTGAAACATTTTATGGGTGTTAAAATCTGCATTGTTGATTAAGGTCTAAGAACAATGATATTATTGATATGTACCTGGTATACATGTATGTGATCAGCTATAAATGAGACACATGTTTTACTCCTCATATTTCAAATCTTGAACAAAAGGAAAAAAGGAATTTGTTTTTAACATGTTTGTTGTTGTTCTAAAAAATGACTATATTTTTTTATTCCCCTAACATCCCATTTCAATTCCCTCATTTTGTATCTGTAATTTTATGTTATAGTTTACATGTATGCCAACTTCAAAACGGTATATCATGTCAAGTTTTTAAGATAGATGTAAATGTATTCGGTAGAAGAAAAGGGAATATTACATATACTTATTTCCTTTTATCCCCAACTGTATCACTGAGATTCGAGGAGAACGCTAGATCGGAGTCAGTCCTGCACATATGACATTACAGTAAGGGTTATGTTAGGACCTGCAGATTTCGCCAAAGTCGCGAGATGTAAACAGGGCTAGCGCTAACACTAACCCAGGACCAAGCCTAACCCTTACCCTAACACACAATCCAAATATGACGTCATATATGCAGGACCGTCTCCAATCTAACGTTCTCCGAGATCCGATCCTGCCTGCACTGTACAGCAATTCTTCCACCCCTCTGCTGTACTCTCAGTAAAGAACTGATTTGTCAGTCTTGGATTTTATGTCATACTAGCTGGACACCCGGCTTTGCATGTGGCCCAAGATCTGCCCAGTTCCCAAGATCTGTGACTTTAACTTTCATAAATCATGGCCTAAAACAGTCGCAGGGTCATGCTGGTTAATTTGATACCATATACGATATATGTGGGGGTGGATTGCGGCCAGGAAGTGTTATGGGCGAACATACATCTTTGGTTTTATTTATATAGATACATACTAATTTAAAGGTGTTTGAGAACTGAATTTAAATTTTTGATTGATGTGTCTCATTTAATCCGCTGTATTCCATGTGTATGTACATACTGATCTACATATATTCCATGTGTATGTACATACAGACCTACATTATATTCCATCTGTATGTACATATAGATCTATATCAGAGTAAACACCTGTAAGGTGTAAATATTGTTTTAGCTGAAATTTTATTTTATTTAACTACATACATGTATTTGTGGTTGTATTTTTAAACTTTATCCCAAATCAAAATTGTTATAATCATGTAAGTTACAGGGTAAATGATTGTGTGCTTCATTATCAGAATACATTCTGGTGTATCATGGTAATATACAATGCATTCTACACTTGCATCCAAAATTTACATGTAACTAACTATATCAAGATTGCTATGAAATATATATTTTTAATAAATTGTATATATTAATTTAGAACATCAATTGTAAATATTTTAAACCAGGGACCCTGTTCATAAAGAATATGTAAAGTGTTATGGGGTACTTAATCAGTAATATGTACAGTTGTACATGTTGTTAGATGTACAGCTGCAGTCACATGTACATGTATGTACCATACAGCTGTAGTAACATGTACATATCATACAGCTGCAGTCACATGTACATGTATGTACCATACAGTTGTAGTCACATGTTCATGTATGTACCATACAGCTGTAGTCACATGTACATTGGATGTGCTTTATGACAATTGTTATTCTGCTGAGATTTTTTAATCCCTATGCAAAAACCATTAAAAATACAATCTTCACCTCTGACAAATTGTGCTTTTAGGTTTTATTGGTTTATTTAGCCGCAGGAAAATGTAGTTTAAATTAATTTCTATCCACATGTTGTTAATGTGTCTGGATTTCCAAAATTCGAATTACAGAATTTACTTCACACACAAACATCGTAATTTGATATTTCTAGGCCATTATTATATACTGGTACCATGATTGTATGCCTCTATTGTGTCTTTGAATGTTAGGAAAATAAAACCAAAGTACCAATATATTATGTAGCTACATGTACCAACATAGACTGTAATATACGTCCATGGTACCAAGAAAGAAAATAAAACAATTTTACATATTTCGCATGTAAATAAAAACATTTACATGTACAGCTAAAACTTAAACAAAAAATAAATTTCAATTCAACAGAAGAAATCATTTAATTCAAGTAAATTGTATTGATATCATAAAATAAGTTCCTGTTTTAATGCAGGTTTGATCAATATTACATGTAGTTGGATTTTAAATAGTGAAAGGGTAATTCAGCGACATATATAGATCCTATTGGTCATAAATCTATTTTTATCTTTGTTTACTGTTTGGCTTAGCTTTTCATATAGCCTTATTTACATATATGAGTTTATATATACCTAGCCTGCTCTTGTCTGTAAAACTTTATAACCCAACATACCAAAGTCTCTATGCACCTTCTGTCCCGCCCCATGAACTTTCCATGACAAAGCTTATTGTCTTTTTATACAGGATTATAATCAAAGCAAATTCTTCTTATAATCCGTGCAATAAGATCTTGTTAATACTATAATTTGTAAATATTCACAATTAATAACAAAATTAGCTCATTAAATTTTCAATGTGTGTATAAATAAAGGGATTATAAGATTCTTCTGTTTATCTTGTGGCTTTGGACTTCCGGGTGGTATATGTTTGAACTACTGGTAATATATGTATTTTATTTTTACCAGAAATATGATAAAACATAAATAATTAAATTTGTACATATATATATCAAATTCTCAAACAATTACCGCTCACTGAACTTAAACCAAAGCCTTCCAAGCACCAAAGAGAATATCAACTAATATCCCTCTCCCTTTATTTAAAACCTACTCCATGAATTTTTAAATATGTAAATTTTTACTTCAAATGAACCACATGAATTTGTTTGAACCATTATCAAACATATTAACTGTCTGATTGTAAATTGCAGAAAAGTAGGAGGTTTATGCCCCATTTCAGTATTGGAAACAATGTAAAATATGAACCTTCATTTCCTATTTCATTTTATATAGTATTCTTAGAAATTATTTTAATATATACAGTAATGTATTTATGTTTTATAGGTGAACGTTTTAATAAATTCAGAGATGAATATTAGAGCTATATTTTCATTTCCTTTCTCAAATATATTCATTATTATAAAATGTAAAGACATCAAGACTTTAACCATTGTAAAAATAGGATCCATTCATTATGATGATGATTGTTCTTTCGCCTCTCAAGGAAAGTGTCTAGTTGTTTAGATGGTACAAAAAACGAGGTCCAGATGTGTACAGAAGGGCGTGCACATGGAAGAACACCTGTCATTTGGAATTTGATAAGAGTAAAACGTTAATCCCTATTTCATTTCTTTCACCTAGTTTAATGTGTTCTTTCAATATTGGTTGAAACAGCAAAATGAGAATTGGTGATTTTCTCGCTGTAACCCAGCGGGCTTATTTTTATTGCTTTTCAGACTGTGAGCAACATGGATATCATTCTCTTGTTAAAATTGTATTCTTGTTTACTAGATAAGGAATTTATGACACATTTAAAATCGCCTTCCTTGACAAATTTGTAAAAACTGTATACTTTTCCCTTAAAACTTTCACTGTTTATCAAGAATTTTTTTTTCTTCTTTGAATTGTAGGCCTAGGCTATATTTTGTAATTTATAATATTTTTTTTTATTGTTTTCCTCCATTAAACCATATCGTACTTTTTAAATACACTGTTTTGAGTTTTATATCATTTTAGACCCCTTCTAGCCCTATATATATACCATAACTGAAGATCTGGACATACGCGAGAATTACGAATCTAGGTATCTACATGTATCACAGACCAGGGTTTGGAAATCCAGTGTTGTGATTTGTTCGTATGATTAAAACTATGTGCACTTCAGAATCAGATCATAAGGAAGGTCATAGTGCGTGACCAGCAGCATATTAATTTTCATGGTCCTGAACCATATAATTAGTCTCGAAATTAATGACTAACTTGGCCGAGACTAATATAATAACGCTGAATCTTATATACGCTTTTGTGTTGTCAGGATGAAATAAACAAACCGCTGACAAACTCATCCTTGGTGTTCCATGCAAGCATTTCTGGGTTGCAGTGCTGACGGATGTCACAGGTAAATCATTAACTGATATGTAATCGAAGATATTATGAACGTTATTTTAAACATCGTCGCTGAAGAAGACTAAAGCTGGGAGTTATAACAAGGAAGGGTTTATACGACTGTGTCTGCCGCTGGTGGCATTATATCTGAGTCAGACGAGACGCCGAGCATGTTAGATTGGTGTAAGCTATAGGAAATTAGTTGAGAGGGCTGCATAGTTTTCTTACTTTCAATGGATCTAGTATGCTATCCTGATTTAAAATGGAACCTTTTGATCAATTAATATCGAGTGCCGGTTCCCACTGACTTGTTATGCGAATCGGTATAAATCGTTTAATCAAAGTATGGCTTCGATCTCAAACGGGTTTTGTTTAAAGTTGGCGGGTAAACTGTCTCGGCAAAATCATGTTTCTTTGATTAATCTCTTTAATTAAGCCATGGCCTCCCTAGTGATTTTCTTTATCTTTTTAACTATAGTGAGTGGATTAATCACCAATCACATTTAGACTTTTAATCTTACAGCGGTATCCTTCGTAAGGGATCAAGCTAATCTCCGCCGCCCACTTGATTGGATCGGTGATCAGATGATATGGCTTCACGATCAAACATGCCGGGAATCCGTTGCCTTCGTTATAAAGAGAGGGTGAAAGGTGTTCACCATTAATTTATTTTTTTTCCGAACAGTTCGCACAAATATTTCCTCTCGTTATTTAGTATCATAGCACCATGAGCTGTCAAGTTTTTGAAGAGTTACCTCCCCGAACACCTGCTGATGGTTGTGAAAGTATTGAAAATGAGGAATTAATGGATGTTTCTTATAGTGATACTCTACCGTCTATTAAAATTCAGGTAGGTTTGACTCAACGAATACCTGTCGAATGTATCTGCGTACCAGTGAAACGTTATAACCATCAGTGTTAAATAACAATAATGTCTATTCTTTCTTCTACAAATAACACTTGGTAATATCCGTGTTGACTTGATAAATGTTGAGAGCCCCAATACGCCAGAATAATGGTTAAATATATAGCGGAATCATATGGAATATTTCGTTCTAAATTTTATTCAAATTGATCTACTCTGACTTAATTGTGGCTATATATTACATATTTTTAATTTTTAACACGTCTATAAAAATCATTATATCATTACAGCAAGTATCACTTGATATTCGAAACACAACTGAACATTGTTTTAGAAGAAGATTTTTAAACAGAAACATGGAATTATTTAGATTAAAGCGAGCTTCACTGAAGAGAAAGGACAGCTTTTTATATAGACGCCACAGACAGATTAAAAATCGTCTTCACGATTTCCTCAACTCGGCGTTTTGTAAAGAGAATTTGATCAACGGTTCGTGTAGTGACCAGTCAACAGATCAACAAAATAAAATGATGATGTCGACCCCAAAACAGAAATCTACAGCAACACAGACAAGGGCACCTGTTAACATGACATCATCACCTGGATTATTAACGATATTGAAGAGAGGGAAGAAATGTACATTTTGTTAAAAACAAATAATGCCCAAAACCCACCGTGAGACATGACTTTCTGTGATATTGCTGCCGACAATATCATTAAATAAAGCAGTATCTAAAGCTTCTGAACAATTTAAATAATAAGTGGCATATAGTGTTCTCTTGCAGTACTGAATGAAAAGTTAGTGGTCGATGGGCTTTATATGTGTTACGGCCCTGGGAACACATGAATGTAACTTTTATTGTTTTCTTTTGTTATAACGTTTCTATTTTGTTATAACGTTTCTGTTTTGTTTCTTTTTTGTTATAACGTTTCTGTTTTGTTTCTTTTTTGTTATAACGTTTCAATTTTGTTATAATATTTTTATTTTGTTATTATATATTATATTACATACGTTGAAAATAAAAAAAAGAAAACTAAACAAACTGACTTATTCATAGTTTCCAATCACTAAATGCTTTACAGACAGTGGCGAATGACTATCTGACACTGTATGAATTGTACAGTGAATTATACAATACCTGTAGCCTACATGTCTGAATGAATTGTATACTTAAACAGGAGTTATATAGTGTGTTATGCAAGTACCTGTATGAATTATATTACATATCAATGGACATATCAATATGTATATGACACAGTGTACTAAAAGTCACACCATTTATGCTTGGTGAATATCTGGATCGAATTGTGACCGCCAAATCTTATATCACTTCATAAGAAGGATTGAATGGACAGAATTACTGTACAAATGATCAAGTACAAATGACACGGTACACCATGTGCTGAATTTTCAAGTCCAATCAAAATCTCTAATTGCTTCGTAAATGTCAATCCTGGAAAAAGAAATTGGATGAGTTCACATCTTGAGGACGACCATAGATGTTCGACATCACGTTATTTAAAAAAGGGCTTTACCCAACAATTATATTATCCAAATGTACATACTAAGCAAACAAAGGAATAAAAATGGGGGAATGCACGGAATTTTTCTATTTGTCTCGTTTTCCCTTATCTAGTGACAGCCAATTATCAGTGAAATGAAATTCGATCGCGTGTCTGTTATCGCTCGTTAATTCAATCAGAAGGATAGAAGGATAACTCGTGTTTGTCATGTTTGGCGTCACTTCCCGTTTCTTCACGTGCTTGTATACACATCTCCACACTGATCCGCAGTGAATATTCGCTTGGCCGCTACAAGGATGTCGCATTAGGTCTGTAAAACAGATTGACACATCTCCCGTAGCAATGATCTCTGTGTTAAAATTATATTTGGGATGTATTTAACCAGTTCTATCACATATTTTATAATGACTGACACCAATATTGTCCTTTAACCACAAGCGAATTATTGAAATAAAATGGAACCATATGTTAGTCTTGAAATGACCTAGTCTGTGTCGGTGGACGTTAGACCCCATTTCTCTCTTTCTCTTAATACATGTGCGCACTATTCTTTTCCAATATGAATCCCCTTCCGTGACAAATATTCACCTCGATAGATTTGAAAGTTCTCTCCTCGGGAATTTTGTTTGAGAATCACTGCTTACGGTTTTTTAAAGGCCTATGTAAAATATAGTAAGCCATTCTCTGTCAATATTTCTACATTAAACACATGAAATAATTTACCCGCTGGTTTCGGCTTTTTACGCCGACTCACACATTTTGCTTAAGGTTTAAGGTCCATGTAAAATATAGTAAAACATTCTATGTCAATTGTAAAGAAAATACATTAAATAATTTACCCGCTGGTTTCGGCTTTTTACGCCGACTCACAAATTTGGCCTTTGGTAATGCAAAATGTTCTTCACACTCATCTGTATCCATGTTGTATTTATAACCTCTTTTACAATGACACAAATATCCACCTTTAGTATTCTGGCAAACTTGATCTTTAGGACAGGTAGCTTCACGGTCAAAACACTCATCTACGTCTTTTATGTTAAACATAATTAATTATTACATCTTTATGACATGATATATATTACATCGTATGATATCACATAAACATAATGTTAACATAGTTGTTATATTATGATATCATTTCATGTTAACATAATTATTACAGCTTTATATCATACAGATAATGTTAATATAGTTATTACACAAACACAATGTTAATACAGTCATTATATTATATCATTTCATGTTAACATAATTATTACAGCTTTATATCATACAGATAATGTTAATATAGTTATTATATAAACATAATTTTAACATAGTTATTACATCCACCCCGCCTAACTTTCGGGCGATCTGACTTTTCGGGCAGACGGGTAACGTGAAAATTATTATTTCATCTAGTTGCCAAAATAAATTCCCAGAGATGTAATGAAACACTAATTTTACTTTTCTTTTTATTGGATACCACGTATTTGTACTGAAATGAATGAATTAAAACATATTGTCTGGAGGCACTCTACTTTGTGCGACATTTTTCGGGCATAGATTATTATTTGTGAATGCAGCTGCAATAGTCAGTCTGATTGGATGATTGGCATTCAGGTCGGCATAGAGTGGGATTTCGGTTACAAATCCGTCGAATAATAACGGCGCCGCCATGTGTAACGCGAAATTTTTTCGGGCATTTCGGGTTCTGCCCCACCTAACAGTTATCGAGCCCGTACGCCTATGAGTGCAGGGTTTCCAGTACTGGACTGAGAGCATGTCAAGTTCGGATGGGAAAAAACCACAAGGTCCCATACACTCGATAGCGTGTACGTAAAAGAACCTTTGATAGTTGGAATTCACTATCCCGCTTGTCTAACTCATAAGACAACAAAACGGTGAAAATCATAGACAACTATACTACCTACATGTATTGATAAAGCTACCCAGCATTGTGAATGAAAATGAAAATGAAATGAAATGGGGTTTAACGTACTTTACAAAATATTAAAATTTCCAATTAATGAGTAAGGTTATTACATATGACTGACTTACCTAAGCATATCTTGTAATCCACACTCCATTTAAATCCCTGTTCATAATTTTCTTCACATTTACACGTATAATTGAGTTTGTTTTTCATTAAGTCGTTCATATTTGTGTTAGCTTCGGGTAACCATTCACATTCGTCGTTCTTCTTTAAATCATAACAGGGGTTTTCTATATC